CCAAATCCTAATAAAAAAATAAATAAGTAAATAAATAATTTTTCATACTGATTACATATTGAAATGATAATATTTTGGATATACAGGTAGTCTCTGACTTAGAGACATATTCAAGTTATGGTGAACAGCCCTTACAATATACATATATATTTTTATATCTTATCATTAGTAATATGTACCACATACAATGTTGCAATGTGCAACATTTGCTGATGTTGTCATTCTCAGATGTTCACTTGCAGATGTTCAATTTTATGATTTACTGTTGAAAACACTACCTACCATATAGCAGACTATGGCCTGGTGTACAATGAAGTTGGTATCAGTGTACAGAGTCATAATGAATAGAAAGTTGGGCAATGTTCAACTCTAATGACATACAACAACTGAACTGTGCACGTGCTAGATGGCCATTATGAACCTCACTTCATTGTTATGACACTGATGCCGATTTCATTGTAGGCCCACCCTACAGTGTGATCTTATCCAGCATTTTGTATCATAAGAAGGATTAGTTGTTCATTTGAAATGACATATTCAACTCATATCAAAATCAATTTACAATGGAGTTATTGGAACAGAACCCCATCATAAGTCAGGGACTACCTGTATTGGATTAAATAAAATAACACTGTTAAAATTTAAAAAAAAAATCTTGTCTGGCACCAAGTCAACATAGACTTTCTCCTTGAAGTGTGAGAAATTTCAGATACTTCAAATTCTACTGAAGAAGAGGAGCTGGCAGATTATGAATGACTTACTTGAACTTGGACGAGCCATACTTGGGCAAATTCTGGTTTGTGCAGAGGCTGGAGACTTCAGTCCACAATACAGCTGGGAAATGAATTGCCTGGGAATAACCTGGAGAGGTCGCATCAGGTTCTCTTTGTAGTGCTAATTCTTGAAATGGACTTTAAAAAAAAATTACAAACACAAATGGAAACAATCAGAAAATATCTGTATTTCTACAAATGTTTTTAAATGTAAGAATGTCCTTAAAGAGATCTGGAATAACAAACATATCCTCAAGGTATTTGTCCTCCAGACCAGCTGTTTTTAATTTGTGTTCTCAAGTACCCCTAGGATGTCTACAGGTGCCCTAGAATAGTGACTCCCAGAGTGGGAGTTCCCAGGCTAGCAGCACCAGCATCAACTGACAGCATATTCTGGCTGTTGTTAGTTCCTGTCCTGTTGGTCCCTGACTCATGGTGACCCCATGCACAATGGAACAAATGGCTGCCAGATCCCTGCACTGTCCCCAAGATTGGTTACCGATCTGACTAATGTGATCCATAGGGCTCTCACAATCTGATTTTTGGAAGTAGATCACCAGACTTTTCTTCCTAGTCTTTCTTAGTCTGGAAGCTCCATTGAAACCTGTTCAGCATCATAGCAATATTCAAATCTCCACTGACACTGGCTGTGCTTCAGCTTGAGATGCACTGGCCAGACCTCAAACAGGGTCTTCTGCATGGAATGTGAGAAGAAATGCAAATTTATGGGCTCCACCACCATTGACCTACTGAAAGAAACTCTGGGGGTGAAATCCAGGAATCAGTGTGTTAACAAGCTCTGTAGGTGATTCTGATGAGTGCTAGTTACAGAACAACTGCTCTAGAGACTTGGGAAGGGTTAGATATAAGAATTCATTAGAATAAAAAAGGTTTGCTTTTTCAAAAAGTATGAAAACCACTGTCCTCTTAAACCTTTAGTCAAAGTGCAGTTTCTATGAGAGTGGACTTTCCAATTGAGAACTGAAGTAGGCAAAGAAAACGTGGACTATGACAAACAGGATTACGATGGCATCATGTTAAAGAAGCCATGAGTCTTACACATTTAGTAAATCTTTATACCTCTGGAATTTCATGAAAGAAAAACAAACGCAGAGCAAGAAACTTTTGGATCAATGACATCAAAAGGGTAATGGCAGAGCTGACTTTCTCATAGTAGGTCAAATGTTAGAAGAATTGAGGATCAAAGAGCTATTGTCATTGTTAGTTGCCATTGAGTTGACTCTTATGTGTAACAGAACAAAGCACTGCCTGGTCCTGCACCATCTCCATGATCCTTGGTATGTTTGAGTCCACAAAGGGCTATAGATGTAGGAAAAATAGAAAAATAACATTCTTCCCCAAATGATATCATCCCACTGCAGGACAATGTGGCAATATCTATAAAAATTAAAAATGCATTTTCCCTTTGATCCAGTGCAAAAACGGCATGGGGGTGGCGTCTTCAAACCTAATTTCATGAGGGTGAGAAATAATCAAGATAACATCAACAACCCAAACCTGATTCCTATGAGGCAGAGGTCAGATATGGCGCCACCCTCCAACCTATTTAACAATTCTGACACCAACCATCCCTCTCACAGAACTCTCTACTTCTCTGCTGGATTTGATAATTTGTTGCAATGGCCACACAGAACTCACAGACAACACTCACAATTATGGGGTTTCTTAGGGAAGTAAGAGGTTACAATTCAGGTTCAGGAATGTTCAGGATACAATTCTTCCATCAGGACAGCTACCCCACTGCCAGGTCCACAGGCATACCTCTCTTTGGCCCTGGGCCTCTCAGCCTGGTCTATGCCCTGCTTAGGCAAGTGTTACAAAACTCTGTAGCTCTGCCAATAGGTGCACCCCATTCAAACCCGCTTCTCTATCTCGTGCCAGTCTCTTGGTTCTGCTGCCTCTGCTACCACCTCATCTTTACCATCTCTCTGCCAAGGAGGTCCAGCAAAGCAATATTGTGCCCATTCCTGGTTCCTTCTTGATGGCAGTGATCCTCCTTTTCTGCCTCTGGGATGGCTCATTTTAAGCCCAGTGGGATGGTAAAACTGACTGATCCTCACATTAGGGTTCTATACACCTTATTTCCATGGTCCCACCTGCACAAGGGTGCCATTTATATTATTAGCAAGCTATCCAATCCCTTTAGTCGGCCACATGCACCTCATATTTATATAGTCCTACCAAGTCTGCTGGGAGTCACAAAGACCATATGGCTAGGAGAGCCATATCAAGTAATTCACTACACTGCACCCAGCAATCCCAAATCTGGGAATTTTTACAACAGTCAGACTTGAATACATCAAAAATGACATGTCTACAAGCTTGTTCATTAGATCATTGTGGCTAATAGATAAAGACTGGAAATAACCCAAATGTCTATCTGTAAGGGACAAGTTCAATAAACAATGGCACATTCACAATATGGCTGCAATTCAAAAAATGTATGTATGACTCTGTTTATGTGCCATTCTCAATTAGATAAAACTATAGGCACAGAAAGCATACTAGAGGATGGCAGAGATGTGGGAAGGAGTAGAATGCCAAGGGGCAGAAGGGATTGTGTATCTGATAGACTTGTTCTTTATCTTGATCATGGTGGGGGTTACATGATTGAGTCTGTCAAAATTCATAGAACTTTACGCTAAAAGAGTTAATTTCATCATACGTAACTTTGAAATACTTAAAAGAAAAACCCAGAATAAAGAAGCTTTTTCTAACCTAGTAGAGCTCTCCAGTATATATTGATATATTGTTGATAGAAAAGAGCAACACACAAACAGTGTGTAGACAATAGAAAGAGGAGAGGATATGAGAATATACTTCAGTATTCTGTCAGGTAGAGAGGTAAAAATTATTTCTATCCAGTAGAAAATTTAACCCTATATGACCACACAGCCCCCTGTCCTGGTTATATGAGTGACAGCCACTTCTTGCCTAACCATGGCTTGAGCCTTGCCTCGTTCCTTTCATTTTTAGAGAAGGTTCATTAAGACAGCCAATCATAAAATTATCCTGTTTCCCAACAGCATCCAGTCTAGGACAAAGCTCCACTTCCATGAGCCCTTGCCCAAATCCTTTAATAAGCGTTTTCTAATGCTCTCTCACTAGATACTCTCAAGTTCTTGCAGGCTGTGTGCTCTCCCTTGCTGTAACTGCTCAACTCTAGGTTAAGGTCTTTGGCTGGAGGGCACTAACCATCCAAACAACACATAAACCTATATACTAAAAATCCTTGCATCTTATTACTTCTTGTGAATTCTCCCTCCTCCCCTTTTTTTTTCACACAAATATTTCTTCTGAACTGGATGCTGTCAGGAAGCAGGATAATTTTATTATTGGCTATCTTAATGAACCTTATCTAAAAGAAGGAAGGAACAAGGCAAGGCTTAAGGTGTAAGTGGTCAAGAAGCAGCAGTATAGTCAGGATAAGAGAATGTGTGGTCATTTGAGGGTTTAGATGATGCTCTTGTTTTTGTCTGTGTTCAGAAATGATTACAGAGTGGTTTTTGTCTTGGTGCACTGTGGGTACAGAGTGGCCTTGTCTGATGTCAGTGTTCTGTGACACTGTTTATGTTCAACAGAAGCACACCAAAGCCTGGCTCTGAGTGCCATGCTGGCTCCCAGCAAGCCCACGCAGACAATGCCAAGTCAGCTCCTGGCTGCCACGGTTACTTTTCCCTTTCTCAGGATGTATTATCTATATCAAAAATTAAATGTTAAAAAAATTGATGTTTGGTATTCCTCAAGAGAGGAAGGACAAGGGGTAGGCCTTCATTCTGCACCCAATGGCTGCTGTTAGAAACCTTTACATAAGAGAAAAATGCCACAGACAACACTTTGGAAAACTCTCTCTCTCTCTCTCTCTCTCTCTCTCTCTCTCTCT